CACAGGGAAACACACTTCAAAGGCCAAAATGACAAAAACAAGACACAACCTTTTATTGGAATGAAAAATTTTTAGTTTTGAATTTCAAAATTTGATGGAAAAATTGGAAGCTGGTATAATACTGTAAAGTACATTTGTGGGCTGGAAGATCAAGTGGAAGGAGTCATCAAAATTCAAAACAACGGGACAAAGAAATGGAAATAATGAGGGAGTAGATGAGAGTCTTAGAGGAGAAGATGTAATGGGAGGAGAGGAAGTAATTATAGAAAAAAATGAGGAAAATGTCCACTCTGAAAATAGTACTTAAGTCTCAGATTAAAGGGCCCACTAAGTTCTGGGCAGGAGTTACAGACAAAGGCGTACACCTAGGAACACTCTTAAAAATTACTGAACATCAAGGATAAAAAAATTTATAAGCATCTAGAGGAATAAGTTACTTGAAAAGTAAAAGGGATCAGACGAATAGCCTGCTGTCATCTGTAACACTGGCAGCTTGGAGACAGTGACATCCACAGGTCCTTGGAAGGAAGGATTGTCATAACCAGTTATCCTGAATCCAGCCATACAGTCCCCTCTCAGGCTACAGCCTGATTGTGAGTGTTCACAGCTCACTGTAGTCTGTTCATGGTACATGCACCTCAGTGCTCTGACTCACGTCCACACTGTGAGTGAAATGCACTTGAGTGTCTCGTCAGGTTGAGGTGGGAGTGCAGAGGTAGTTGGTCTATCCAAAAGAAATGGACCTGTCAGCAGTTGGAGTGACTACATCCCAGCATCTTAGGAAACTGAAATTGGAAGCTTCTTGGAGAAAATCTAATCCAGTCATCCCATTTCACATTTGAGGAAATGGAGGCCCATTAGTGACTATATCCCAGCATCTTAGGAAACTGAAGTTGGGAGCTTCTTAGAGAAAACCTAATCCAATCATTCCATTTCACAGATGAGGAAATTGAGGCCCATTGAACGATTTGCACAAGGTTTTAGAAGAACTAATTACAAGCAGAGTAAAGACTAGAATCCCTGTCTTTTGACTTCAATTTGGTATTCTTTTTATACTTTTACCCCCTTTCTTTATAGGTAGGTATATTCAACTTTTTTACCCCTTTATGTCTATATGCAGATATATAACTGTACATATATTCTTACACCATTTAATCAAAAAGTATTTACTGAACACACGAAGTGAACCAGACATACATTGTCCTGATCATTATGGAACTTAATTTCTAAGCTAAACTTTCAAAAGGACTTCCATACTATCAGAAGAGACATCAGCCAGTCTTTCCTTCCTACTGATCGCAACTCAAAAGACATGTTCTTCCACTATCAGGATTCAGTAGAAAATCCCAAAACAAGTAGCAGTTCTACCAGTCTCCATTCTCCCCGCTCTCCAAATCCACACACTTTGCCATACGACTCTGCAGTTCCATTCAGGTGAAGAATGTGTCCACACCCCACTGATGTTGGGCTTGGTCATCTAATTTGCCTTGGCCAATGGAATGTGGATAGAGGTGATGGTACTGTTTCTGAGCCCAGGCTCATGTGTTTCTGCTCACCCCTTTCACTTCTGCCATGACCATGAGAAGAACTTGCCCTGGTTAACCCACAGGTCCCAGAAGAATAAAAGAAAGTAGAACAGAGCCCACACCAACTCCCCACCGCCTGACTGATGCACAAGGGCCCCAGCTGGTCTGTAAGCCTGTGAGCATGACAATGACTGCCTGTTATGTGTGCCGTGGGAGTCTGGGTGGCTCATTAAGCAGAAGTAGCAAACTAGTACATCTCACAATGTGCTGGCTCTCTCGGAGCCAGCTCTGGTGACCAGGAAGACGATTCCACCAAAATCAACCTTCCTTCCTTCAGCCTTCTCAGTCTTCACTTCTGGCTGCTTTCCGTGATCTCTCTAAAAGCAGCAGCTGCGTGGCTCTTGTGTGGATGCAGCGTCCAGCACAGCCAGCCCAATACCAATCATTGAACATGATGGTGGGCCACCCCAGGGACTCTGCAGGTAGACATGCTATCATGTCATCAGTGCTGGGGCACACAAAGGCCAACTCAGCATGGGCTAAGAGGACCAGTAAAGCACTGCTACCAAAACATGATTTTTGAAAAAATCTGATATTTTTTTAAAGCCTGGGAAAATCAGGACCCCTTGGGGTTCTTTACATTTATTTTACAGTTAATGCCATTTTATTAAGTGCTGTTTTTATTTTGGATTACTGGATGTGGAATGCCATGTCCTTTTTTATTTTTTTTTATTTTTATTCTAGGGCCTTAAAGTTTATAGTCTGGCCTTGTATGAATTAAAGTTTCTTTCCCTGCTTCGTTTTCTTCATAGCCCTTCCAAGTCCATACTTGGCCTTTGTGCCTCAGGAAAGGGAGGCCACAATGGAAACAGAGAAACAAAACAATTAGAATATTTTTTAACCTTTAAAGTTCAAGGTTTTGGCATAAATACTGCTTTGGAACAGTGTTTGCCTCTCTCCTTCCCACCAAGGCAGCAGGGAGGAGTCTTCCTTTGGCCCAGAGAGAAACAGGAGGCTGAGGGGTGGTCGCGGTCAGATGCTAGGGTAAGCCAAACCCCAGGGGCAAGGAGGGAGGAAGATAGAGCCCAGACAGCAGAGGAGCTCTGGATCTCACTTTTCTAGAAGGCCCAGGAAAGCGATGACCATCCAGAGACCCTGCCCCAGCACACAGCATGGCAGTGGATTTAGTGGCCATGTGTGTCTGGGGCAGAGCCCAAGGTGGGCTAAGCTTCCTGTGGCTCCTCAGTGACATGACAGAGAGGCCCGGCATCCCTGAAAGAGCTTGAGGGTTAGCTGGGAAATAGATCTGGTGGACCTGAACCGGAGGACAACCATCATGTAAGGACATTTCTGTGGAAAGTGATTCTCCTGAGGGCAGCCATGTCTTAGCAGGTGTCAGTGTGCACGTATGTGGCTCTGTGAGCCTTCCTACCTCTAATATCCTAACACAGCCCTGTCTCCCTGCACTTAGGGTAGGAGGATCCCGAAATGACTAGCAAGACACACTGTCCCCATGTATCTAGTAACTTTGTTTTCTCCCTCACTGGAATAGAGACTTGAAGTAGAGATAATGTTGAGTTAGAAGACAAAAAACCGTAACATTATGGTTTTTTGCATACTTAAATGCATGGCCTAAAGATTCTTATTCATCTCATAGTATTTGCTTAGGAAAAATAGAGCCAAGTCATTTGTCCCTTTCCCTTTCTTCTTTCATCTCTGCCACCTTTCTGTCCTCTGACTTTCCCAAAGCCTTGGGCTACATCGCCTCTTCCTCATTTCTTTATAATCTATTTTCCACCTTTCCCATGTATTACTTTGGCAATTAAAAAGTTGTCTAAAATCAATAAAAATAAGTACTATTTGGAAATCTGCAAATCAACAGATTGATTACAAAGGTAAATAGTGCCCCCTTCTTTCCAACAAACAGCCACAGCACTAATCATCTTCCCAGACAGGTACTAGGAAAGAATTTTCCAGGGATGGCCAGGTGCTCCTTGCAGAGCCACTGCAGCCACATGTGGTGATACCTCTGCATGAGAAGCTCATTCCCTTTCTTCCACAATAAGGACAGAAAGGGCAGTGTCAGCCCTTGGCTTGAGAGAGCTTTCCAGCCCACCTTTAGCTCCTGCACCATTATTTATGTTTTGGTGGTGGATGGAAGGGTGAGGGGGATGGGGAGGATCATGGCCAAACCCTCTAAGGAAAGGAAAGGAAAGGAAATAAATAAATCACATACAGTATCGAGTTAGAATCTCAGAAATCAGGTATCCAAACAGCTTGTCCCAAGAGCTTCCAGCAGGGGGCAGCAGGTCACTGTGAGCGGCCAGTTCTGTTGCTAGCCACCAGGTGTCACATAAAACAGCCCTAACTTCCACATCAGGTAGAAGCCAGGAGCAAATCATCCATTGCTGCCGGCTCTCAAGAATGCTGCACCCTTACAGAGCTGCCCAGTAGAAAAGGACACTTTGAATAAGTTAACAATTTTTCTCCCGGAAACCCACAATTAAACAGAAGAGAAACCCAACATTTCTTCCAAAATCCTGTTTTTCTCGATTTAGGTCTCGAAGCCATCATTTACCTATTTTATATATTTATTTGGATTTGGCTTTATTTCAAAAAGGATTGAAAGCAGCTTTACCAAGTCACAGGGTCTTCTAATTGCACAGGACAAAGGAAACAGTCTGTGCACATTTGCTCCAGGTAATAGGCCCTATTTACTGACAAGAATTTGTCTTTGTGTTTCCCAAAATAAAGGGGAATTTGGCCCCAGGCTAAAACACATGAATTTGGAATGAAAGCCCAATAGCCTTGAAATACTGCTGAAGCAAAAATGATTAGTGAGATTTTACACAAAAGAGTAGGTATTGGGAGGCTAGCACTCTGGTTGAGACCTGGGTCTTTAGTACCAGTTTGTCATGAGTTAGCTTCCTGACACCTGGACAAGCTACTTTCCCTCTTTGGTGATCAGTTTCCTTTTCTATAAAAAGGGGATAGAATCAAACAAGGTGTGGCACTTTTTCCATCTCAGATATAGGAACCTAAGGGGACTTCAGGGTCCTGCGGGGGGAGGGGGCTGAAATGGGTTTTGTGCTTTAGACCTGGTTGGGATGTAGGAGTTTGGTGGGGGAAGGCACTGAGATAATGTTTTGGGAATGACGGGTAAGGGATTTTTGTATGGAAACCACATCCTGACAACTTCTTCAATCTATTTCCGGCTTCAGTATCTGGGAACTGGGGAGGGAGGCCAGAGGGGTGGTTTTCAGGGTTTCTAGCCTAAATTCTTTAAGCAAAAGCTGGAGGATCCAGAGGGCACCTGCTCTCTGTCCCTGGAGTCCCTCATGCACCCATGTTTGAGGAGCCCTGGTCAGACTGCTGGACCAGCTTGTGTGTCCCCTGAGGGAAGTGCACAGCTTTGTCGGTCCCCACTGAGGCGCCATTCAAGACTACTTCAGAAAGGGACACGCACGTCATAGAGAGCATCAGGCAAACACAACATATTTTGGCTTTAATCTTTACTTTCAATCCCAAACAATCTCTTTCCTTTTCATTACAAAAATACTAAACAAACAGAAGAGGAAAACGGACATTTGCAAACTGCCTTCAACAGGCGTCTCAATAGTTCCATCACCAACACCCATGTGGAAGGCATAGACATCAGGCAGGCAGTCTCAGGGGTCACAACTACACCATAAATGCACGACCTTTTTATTTCATATAAAAATGACCAACACGAAAAAAGCCAGGTCGTGCGTTGATTTTAAGCACTCTGACACTCCTGAGAGCCTTTTCCTCTGGCCAGACCAGAGGTCCAGCCCTCCTGGAAGGGAGAGGCAGCCCAGCACCTCAGCAGCCCATTGACAGGACAAGCTGGATGTGGCCCAGAAGGTCAAGAGCGCCAAGCTGCCCTGGCCTTTCCCAGGCTTGGAGGGGTGGCCGCCTGGCACGGCTCTGGCCCAGCAGCCTGGTGGCATGGCTAATGCCTTCCTGTGCAGGCCATGGGCTCCTTTCCCAGGCTCACCCCAACATCTCTGTGCTTATCTATCTAGGGAGCTGTGATTGAGTCAAGCAGCTGTCCAAAGTGTGTCAGTCTCTGACTTCATCATGCACCCTCTCCAGCCCTTGAGGGAGGGGAGCCATCAGTCCACTGTGCCGTTGTAGGATTTGTTGAATTTGTTGAAGGTGAAATCCACGGAGTGTGTGGAGATGGGCTTTCTGTACAGAGGGTTTGAAGCCTGCAGAACATGGAAGGGAGGAGGACATGTGTTAATCGATTCATCCCAACACACATACTCAGGGCTGGAGGCCCTCCCTGGCCAGTCAGTCACCCAGGAGGACAGCAAGCAGAGCACAGAGGTGGAAGTGACAGCCTTGTGCATGGGGACTGGCTGCCTCTAACTCACTGAGCCCTGGGCAAGTCCCTCCCTTCTCCGAGCTTTCACTTTCTTTACTCCCTCTCTGAAACGAGGGCTGGTAATTTCTGTTCAAGTTGGAAGGAACTTCAGAGACTAACTGGGGATCAGGTGAGTAACTCCCTTACATTGTGCTCAGTCCTTTGGGAATGTGCAGTTTGCCTGGGGACACCAGACTTAAAGCATGTGGGTACTATAATAGACTATAAGAACCTGGGGTCCTTTCCTGGGTCTGTCATCTCTCTAAGACCCTCCAGACTCTCTCTGCTGAGGCCAGGCTGAGCACCTCTGCCTGAGCCTCCCAGCCTGGTCTGGTGCAGGGTCTTTGGTGCTCCTGGGCGACACACACCTCCTTTCAGGTTTTGTTCTTTGTTTTGAATGTTATGGGCCTTTACCACTTGCTTGAGCTCACCCAGACCTCTAAACTTGGCTTTTTCCTACTTCCAAGTTCCCAATGGCTTACCATTTCATAGCGGGCCCTGGATCGCTCACTCTGGAACTTCGCAAACTCTCTGCGGTCGTGGATGGTGACGAGCAGCTTCCAGATGCCCAGGAGCGCAAACCCAATCAGGAGGATACTGCCGACCACAGCCAGGAGGATGGTCATGACATTGGGGGCCGTTCCGCACTCTGGATGGGACCAGGAGGCACGGTGAGCAAAGATGCACCCCTCCTACCCCAGCCTCAGACCTGTCTACAATGAGAGGTCCGTGTCTCTCCCTCAGTCTTCCCTGTTCTGAGATCCTCACACTGCTCTGGGAGACGTGGCTGGGCAGGCAGGTGTCTTCAGTGCACATGCAGTGAGAGTCAGAGGGGGATGGTGCTGTTCCAAGGCCACACAGCAAGTCTATGGCAAAGTGGAGGTGGGAACCCTGGTGGCTGCTCCACTTCTTCCACGTGCCCTGTACACAGCTGCATCTCCCCGACTCGAAGCCTCCACCCCAGCCTGGCCCAGTGCCTAGCGCAGGACGCTGGACCACGCCTCAGCTTCCATGTACATGGTTTCAGGAGCAGACTGGGCAGGCAGGCAGTTTTATGAAGCCACTTCCATAAGGGCTGGGCTGGGGCCAGCCAACATTTGTAAACCCTTAGTGTGGTGCCCTCTGGAGCAAAAGTGCTTATTTTCAAAGAACTGCAAAGACAGTGCTTGGAAACAAAGCTTCGTTCTTACAGGCATGCACCCTGCACTGGTACCACACCTCTTCCACCCTGCCCAGGGAAGGCGCATTATGTGGTCCAGCCCAATTTGGAAAAGCAGATTGCAATGCTGTGAATTAAAGAGAGCACACCTTTTTCTGCTCCCCTAACCCCCTCCAAGGGTCACACTAGAAACCCTAATTACTCTAAGGTAAAAGACCACCGGTACCTGGGCACAAAGCACAAGGCAGAATAGAACCGTCTGTTTGGATTAAAGCTGGGCCTCTTCAGTGGCCCAGCAGCACACAGAAATATCTAACCCAGTGCTCCCTCTGCCCTCCTTGGACTCCATGCTGGGAAGTGCAGCAACCTGGCCAGGCCTGAGTATACCCAGGTCTCCGTGAGGCAGTGCTGGCTGCTCAGCCCTTATCACCCAGGCGAGCCCTGCAGCCATTCCCTGCTGAATCCAGGACCCCCCACCATAGACCTTTAGCCCTGCAGGTTAAGTGTGTTCCTGGCTTACTTTCACCCAGCGCTCTCCTCCAAGACAGGACACTCCCTAAGGGCAAAGCCCGGTCTCTTCTAACACTGATGCCCCCCAGAGCTACGCCCCCAGCAATGGATCCCAGATATGCAGCTATCTTCCTTCTAAACTCTGGAGTCAGGTAGGGGTGGCCACAGAGTCTGACCTTTGTAAGAAATCCTAACCCTTCTCTCTCTGGAGCTTGGATAGGGGGTGAGGAGAGGACAGGCGACATGCTTAGAACAGGGAGTGGTGTTAGGGACCGAGGCCTCCGGGAAGCAGACATGCTGGCCCTCACCCACCTGGCTCCCTGAGGACCGTCAGGTTGGACTTCCCACTGGGCAGCTCTGTGTAGGTGAACAGCATGACACAATCCTTGGCAGTTTTGTAGAAACAAAGCACAGCTTCCTGGTCATCTTTCACTGGAAAAAAACCAGGCAGGAGTGTCCTGAGTATGTCTCTGAGCAATCCAGACTGCTGACTGACTGGCAAGGAGCCTAACACCTCAGAGAGGACAGGGGTGCAGACCAGGTTTAAAGGGAGGCTGGGCCTTTAAAAACAAGTCCAGGTTTCTCCCATCAAGAATGCAGGCCCAGGCACTGAGTTTAGTTTGCTTAGGGGATGTGAATTCCCTCAGATGCAAGGGGATCTGATCCCTGTGGGAAAGCAAGAGAATCTTCAACCTCCAAAGTATTTGCTGGGGTGAAGGGAAATGAAAGGAGGCAGGGATGCTTGGGGCAGGACTGGTCCATGGAACTGGCTGTGGCCATTAAAGGGATAAAGAAGAAAAGAGCCATCCTGAGTGATGAGAGTTCACATTGAGTCCACTTGGCTGAGCTGAGCACTGGCTCAAGGCCAAACCTCAGAAGTGCTCTCTTGGGATCAAAACCAGAAAGACCCACAAGGTGATGAGGACATCTGGGAGAAGACTGGTACCCACAGTGGTGCCTGCGTCCCAAGCAGAGCCTGGACACCGACCGGCCTCTCCTCTGTGGTAACTCCTCCTGGTCCCCTGGCTGCTTCCCAAGGTTAAGGGGTCACAGTCCCCATTCCAGGCATTATCTGCATCCAGGGCTTCCTTGGGAAAGTGTTAGGTTGGTCTCTAGGAGGGAAAGCAGCTAGGAACTATGGCAGAGTGTGAGTCAGAGGGAGGGGAGTGCCTAGGAAAGGGCAGTCAGCCTGAAAAATGCTGCCGGTTCCTGCTGTGACATGGAATGCTCTCTCAGCTCTGCCCTCTGTAACCCTGTTGCACAAAGGACTTTCAACCTGGAACCAGATAAAGCAGTGTGGTTCTCAAACATGAAGGCCTGGACTTTTCCCTCAGCCCCCAATCATAAGCCCAGTCTGGGTGAGTGTGAATGTGTGTGTGTATGAAAAAGCCAGGGAAGAGGAAGGGAAAGGGTAAAGGGTGAGTTCAAACAGAAACCTGCTCTGTGAAGCACCCGCTTCCTCTCCTAGGCACAGAATAGGAAGCAGCTGTGGGTAATCAGGCAGAAGCTGCTCTTCTGCCTTAAGTATCAAGACAGAAATGGGGAGAGGAAAATGCGTGTGAGAGATGGGACTCTAAGCTCCCACTGGCCTTGGGTCTGGCACAAGGCCTGGTGTACAGTCAGTGCTCAATGACTGTGTCGGCTGCATACGTGACTCAATGTACTCAGGAGCCGTGATCTGGCCAGAGGCCAGGAAGTCCACAAAAAAGGCAAAGCAGAGCCAAGACGGACAGGTGGTGGGGCTGGGAGTCTGAGGCAGCTGTGGTCAAGGTAGAGGGCAAGGCTGCAGCCAGGGAGCCTCAGATGCAGAGTCCCTTTCAAAGTACGTAGTCTTTTCCCCACCATTTGGCCATTTTTAAAGTGTACAACCCAGTAGTTTTAGTATAGTCACAATGTTGTGTAACCGTCACAACTACCTAATTCCAGAACTTTCCTACCACTCCAGAGAGAAAGCCCATACATGTTAGCGGTCAGTCTCAATTGCCTGGCAACTACTAACCTACTCTCTGTTGCTCTGCTTTTGTCTATTTGGGGCATGTCGTATAAATGAAACCCTATAGCGCCTGTCCTTTTCTGCCTGGCTTCTTTTACTCAGCATATTTTCAAGGTTCGTCCGTGCTGCAGCCATACCAACACTTCATACCTTCTTGTGGCTGAATAATACTCATAGGATGGATGTACCACATTTTATCTTCCATTCCTCAGTTCATGTACATTTGAGTTGTTTGCCGTTTTTGACTATTGTGAATAATGCTGCTGTGAACATTCAGGTACAAGCTTTTGCATTAACCTATGTTTTCAATTCTTTTGTGTGTACACCAGGAAGTAGGGTTGCTGGATTGTAGGGTGACTATGTTTAATCTGGGGGGAACTGCTAAACTGTTTCCAAAGTGGCTGCACCATTTTATATTCCCACCAGCAGTGTATGAGGGTTTCAACACAGGGTTACTCTGACTTGATGTAAATAGAATGTTCTGGAACAGTTCCAAACTCAGTTACATGCTTATGGGACTAAGATATGTGCTTTGCATCTCTTACCCTTAGAAACTCCTCAGCCTGGACAGCAACAGTTGTATTAGAAAAGATATGGATGCAGCCCTGAGATGGTAAAAAGAAATATTTTTGTCCCTTTGTGGATTCCCTGTTTCCTAGGCACACAGCTGAACTACATTTCCCAACAATCCCTGCAGTTACATGTGGATGGATGTTATGTGCACCACGTTCCAGGTCCAGCCCATATAAACCTCCCATGTGATCCCTCACTCTGTCTTTCCCCATTGGCTAACTAAATGGAGAGGATTCTGAGGACCTTGAGGAGGGAGGAACCTCGGCATAGAAGGTGCCTGGAATCCTGAATGACCACATGGAAGGCCTTGTCAACCAGGAGCATCTTCACTGGACTTTCAGTGAGTGATAAACTGACATTTTGTTAAGTCATTGAGATTTGGGGTGGGTTTGTTATAGCAGCAAACATTACTTATTCTAATATACTAACTTCTCAGGGAGCCTGGGAGGAGACTGGGTTCCAGTGATGGGACAGAAACTTAGGAACAAGGAGGTCTTATACCTGGGGCTTCTGGAGCCTAAGCATGGGTTCCCCAAGTTCTCTTGGGGAGCAGCAGTCATGCCAAGGACATGGAAGCTATGCTTTCTAATCAAGGCTGAAATGACCTTCCTCCCCGCCAAGCAGCCCTAAAGGTCATCCCACAGGGGAGAAAGCCTCTGTGTATGTGTAAGATCCAAAAGGGGACAGCTCCTGGGGCTGCACTGGCACACTCACCAATGGCGTCCGCCCATGTGACCACCTCATCCTTGCACAGGTGTTGGCAGGTCTGGTTGTCAGCTGGGGTCCCTGAGTGAAGCAACAGGCACTCTACACAATCTCTTTGGAAAAGAGGCAATAAATGTGGGTGTTAGATGCTGTGTAGTAGCTCCACACATGTAATGAGCTCCCAACAGTGTGATCCCAGCCCTCTTGCAGGCCAAAGGCTCTAACTGCTGCCTCTCTTCAGATGTTTGGCTTCAGGGGATGTTTCCACTCTGCCCTTCTTGCATCTCTGATGCAGGGAAGCCTCAGGGTTCTTGGAGGAACATATCTGAGTTCAGAGCCCTGTCTGGTCTACATGTCAAGTTGCAGGTTGGAGACCTTTCAAATCCTGACACCAGGAGCCAACTCCATCTGCACTCTGGCACATCAAACGCCGGACTAAGGAGTTTGCTCCAAGCAAGACATTTCCAAGTGATAAACTGTGACCCCAGCCTCTTGGAGGGCTCCTCACACCCTATGGCCAGTGCTTGATGACCCCACATTGCCCCAATTTCCAGGATCCCTCCACCCCCTGGTCACCACCAGGGCAGGGCTCTTAACCCTCCTGTACATTAGACTCTCCAGGGGGGCTGTGAAGACAAAATACCACTGCCTGGGCCAACCACCCCACAGAATCACATCTCTGGGGCAGAGCCTAGGCCTCTGGGATTCAGAGGAATGAACAGTGAGGGCTGAGAACCACTGTCCTGAAAACTCGCAGGCCCCTGCCCCTTCTCCCTCCTGATGGAGCTCAGCTGGCAGGCTCCCTGAGGGCCCTCTGTCCACTCACCTATTAGTTGAGCTACACTAAACTCTGGTAGAGGCTACAGGGTGGCAGCCCCCCCAGGGAACCCACATTTCAACAGGGGCCTTCTGGAGAAAATGGGTGAGGAGCCAGAAAGAGACACTTTGAGCCCCTCTTCTCCCACCTCAGGCCAACAGTTTAAAACAGAGATTGTGTGAAATGCTTAAATGCTTAATTAATAATTAGTATTTATACTTCCTATAGTCAAAACCCAACTCCAGAAATTCTCCATCCACCTTCACTTACACCAGGGAGAACAGGACTCCAGAGGACAGCAGGCCAGAGAAGCTAAGCTCTGACCAAGGGTCTGTGACGCTCGCTGCTCGCTGTGAGGGAGAAGAGCCCTGACTCTGTAGGGGACTGTGGGGTGGGGATGCACAAACGGGACGGTGAGAACTCCAGGGAGGGGTGGGTCAAGGCAAAACAGCCAGCCAACTATGAACTTTCAGGGACTTTGTGAAACAGGGAGGTGAGAGCCCCCCAAACAGGGGCTTCCTCAGGAAACTGGAGGACTCCAGAGCTACACCCTGGCACCAGAGTGCAGGGGTGACCTCACAGAGCCTCAGCCACATGGGCGACGGCTGCCCTGCTTTCCCCATACGCCTGTGCATCTGGAGAGCGCTCTAGCAGCTACAGAGGATGTACAACCACAATGCACCACCTTTATTATCATCCCTGTTTTTTAATTCCTTGAGATTAAGAGGCCTAGTTACTGCATTTCCAGGGCAGAAACTGAAATGCAGAACTGGGAGTTCGAGAGCATTTCACCAGGCCCCTTAGTCACAGGTGAGGGAAGTGAGGCCAAAGGAAGTCAAGGGCAGCTGGATGGAGCTCCCAGGTGCCCATCTCAGACAACCCCCTCCCCAAATCCTGACTCCACTTTCTGATCATTAAGGAGGAATGGGCAAGTGAGTAGATTGTTAAGAAAAAGTGGGTAAGATTTTCTCAAGAGAGTTCTCACAGGCTTAAGAGTTCAGCTATCCCAGAACTAGCCACAAAATCCCACTGGCCTGGGAATGACTTCATGGAAACATTCTGGAGTTACAAATAAGCTGGTGGTGACTGCATT